TTCACCAAATACAACTGGTGAGGAAGATGTCTTCTTTTGAGTTTTCCACTTCAATATTGTAATAAATTAGATTATTGTATAAATAAAAGCCTGTGAATACGCAAGAGATTATGTAGGTTAATATTTAATAAAAATAGAAGATGCTGATGGATATTGAATTGAGTAGATCATCATATTGGATATTAGTTAAATACTTTTTTATCTTAGAATCAGCTAGTTTTAGCTAACTAAATTATTAAAACAAATGAGATGGTTGTTTTTATTACAATCAACTTATATTAAGATAATTAATAGGGTAGCAAAATAATAAGATCACAAATACCGAAAATCTTGCTGTAGTGTGAAAGAAGAGGAGTTATCTGTTTCAAGTTTTCCAAAAGCCTATCACATGCAATTTTATTGTTATTGATGAAAACTTTTTTTTTTCTTCAAGTCTTCATCCGCACCTGTCATGGTAGTGACAATTAGCAGATTTGTTGTTAGGTAGAGAATGGCATGATAGGCATGACGAAGAATGGAGCCCAGCAGTACCTCTTCCCTGGTCTGTTTACATCCTAAAATCAGGAAAGGAGATCTCTCATCCAGCTCCTTTTCAGTCGCCTCCTGATGAGCATTTCAACCGTGGCCATGTCGTTGATAAGTCCATTGTGATGTCCGTGTAGTTTAAGATGAAATCGGGATTAAAGAATACGTATGTGCTGGTCAATGGTTGGTTGTCTTAGGTCGGCATGTAAGATATTTAAGTCTTATTGTTGACATACCAGTGAGCTGCAGTTATTAGTCTTAAAATTTTAGATTGTAGTTTTTGTAAGTGAGTCTTTTTTGCTGAACCGTTAATCTGTGAGGCGGATGTCCAAATGGGTTTGAGCAGGTAAGTGTATCTATTTAGTTTTTGTCTAATTTTCAGTTTTGATTTAGAAAACAGTGAGTAAAGTATTTTCAGTCGCATGTTCAGTCTTTCCTTTAATTTTGGCGTGTGGGCCCCAGGTCATCCTTCTGTTAAATATTAGTCCGAGGTAGCGAATAGTGTCCTTCTGAGGAATTGGATTGTTGCTTATATAAACTGGTGGGCATGTTTCTCGTCGAAGCGTAAATGCTATGTATTGTGATTTGTTATGATTTAATCTAATTTTCCAGATTGAATTAGAATAGGACGTATATACACAAACAAATATATAAATAGTTATTTTATTATACTAGTATTTTTGTTTTTATATTTCTACTCTGATGGTATCAAGAGAAATAAAATAAATAGTTTCGTTAGCAATAATGTCGCTGTTATATAAGTTAGGTAATTGTGTTTCATATAGTTTGTGAAATGTCTAAACGCACCTTAATTATATCTAAGTGAAGTATTGTAAATAAAATACCAAAATATAAGGTAATTGTACCAATAATAGACACTTTAAATTAATTTTTCTACATTTATATGAACTACTGGATGGTGAATATCCACAAATGGATTTAATTTAAATGAAATTTATCCTTTTATCGAAATATGTGCGCCAGTTTGTATCATTTTTCATATAAAAATTGGAAAATTATGACACATGATTTTTCAAAGTTCTAGTAATAGACAATCTTTTGTACCACTTATAAACTTTTATATAGAAAAAAATTATAACAATAAAAAAAATCTGGTGGGCGCAACACACAACTTTCATTTACCGATCTATTTTGAATAGAAATTATATTCTGGCAATGCTGGGCTATTATAAAATGTTTAGAAGTGCATTTTAAACGGAGCTAAAGCTTAAAGCTTACAGATAACAAGTCATTAAGACCATTATAATTACAAAATGTCTATTTAATATATGGAAGAAAGGCAATAAAAATCTAGTCACTCCAAAAAATCTAGTGAATCTATCTGCATTTATAAACCACACAACTTTCTTTGCTTTTATAAACAACAGAATGACTAAGTCAAATTTCAACATTTTTGAGTGATATTTTTAGTTTAAAAAGTTATCTATGCAGACAATGAGTAAGTTGATTACAGAGGTGGTGATTGCAGTGTTGAAATATAGAACTGACAATAAAGGTATCAATTTAGGTACTTATTTCTTATGATAGATGTTCTTAGGAAAGACACTTTATTAAATATCTGTAGAAAAAAGGTTTTTTTAGGCTCAACAATTAAAAAAATATATTTTAAATTTATCCAAATTTTCGCCTCTTCAGGGAAAAAAACTAGAGACCATATCATTCCTCCTAATTGTCCGATTTTAAAGATTTTTTTTTTTGGAAATTCTAAAAACATTTAAAAACCATAAATATCCCAAAAAAAGCGTATACTTTTTGAGTTATTCGAAATTTAATTTTAACATCCCTCGTAACTTTTTTTCCAGGTTCTTTTCGTTGAAGTTAGAAATATTATATAGATAAATTTAAAAGGTATGAGAAAATGAATTTAGCGAAGTTTCATTGAAATCGGTACATTCGTTTAGGCGCTACAGTCTATAGCAACGCAGGTTTTTCTGCATTTTTACTTTTTTTCTCCTTTATTAACTTATCAAATTCTTTCAAAAGCTATATGTAGCATTTTATCGTAACTCTGAATAATGCGAAATGGTTAATTTTTTTAAAATAAACCATATTAAAGGTACTTTAGAAGAAGACATGTGTGAACGTTGGGCATTTAAGCCCTGTAAAGTGACATCAACGGGGATAAGACCTAAATGATATTAAAGACCACTTAATTATACAATGATACACCGAGTTTGATCAAAATCGTTAGAGCGGTTCCGGTTTGCCGATTTTAACGAAAAAGTTGTCACATCCGGCCCATATACAAATCTTAAATACTTAATATCAGTTTCGTACTACTTTTCATTTATGAGCTATACTATTAACACACACACATACACGGACAGACACCCACAAACACACATACCATTATGCGACACTTGATTATTTGAACTCAGGGGACCTCAAAAAATGAATTTTCGTTGAAAACTGAGATTCGGAAATTTTCACGATCGCAATACTCAACCTTACTATATATTACATATATACGTAAGATAAAGTAAAAATAAAATGATAACGGTTAAAAAGTACATATATTTTTAATAACAGGCAAATGCATTAATAGAATTATAAATTATAATTTTATTGCCTTTTTCTCTTCTTTTTTTGATTCGGGATCTCTCTTTCTTTCTAAGCTCCGAATATCTCTTCATATTTTCTTTCCGTTCATGGTATTTTTAAAAGTTTTTGGATGTGAGTAAGGTTTGTATTTGTTTTTAGGTTCCGGTCAGAAGAATATTGTTTTAAATGGACTTGGTATTGGGTATGTGCCTTTATTTATTATAAAATCTTTTCTAACTTTGAATATTTATAATTATTTTTAGTTCATGAAATATGATTCTAATTTACGATGTAGATTTAAATTTACAAATCAGCCGTCAATTGTGACAGATAGTGATATCTCTCAATAAATAAATGTAAGGTTACTTGAGCAACCTTTAAACACTTCAACTGTTACTTTTCTTTAAATCAGATGTTAATGATTATTTATTAGAAAATACCTTCTTGTATTGTTATATTGTTGTGTTAGAATTAACTTGTGTTGTAATAACGTGTAATTAAATTATTTTACTTTAATTGAATAAATCACGTCTATAAAAGATCTTAGATATATTAAAAAAAAAAAAAGAAAGACTGCGTCTTGAATATTTATCACCCTTGCATTCTTAAATATAGGTAAAAAGGTCTCATTATCTTGCACCTTTGCAGAAATCGGGGTTTTAGCACCTCTCTCAGGTAAAGACGCCTACCTGAAATGCAGATAATGGAGGAGTCAATAGTTATTACCATATTTTCTCCCCTTGACTATTTCTAATAATTTTTAGTCCATGAAATGTCATTCTAATTTATGATATAGATTTAAATATACCAATCAGCCGTCATTTATGCATTGCAGAATACAAAGTATTTTCTAGCAATTTTGCGCTATTAAAAAGTTTTTGAATTGTATTTTTAACGGAGCTAAACCCTAACAGCTGATCTGCAACAACGTATGAGGGCCATCAAAATAACACAAACTCTATTTATTACATGAATGGTAGGTAAGAAAAACTTCATAAATACATCTGTTTTTGTAAACCACATAACTCAAGTTTCTGAGCTACAAATATGCCTTGAGAGATTTGAAAGTGCATTTGTATATTTAACCTATTAATCTACACTTGTTAATATTATTAATCTATGCAGGCCCATTTTTTGTTTGTTTTTTTTTTCTGTAATAGCATATGTAAAAACATTTAAATTAGTCGACTATAGCCGACTTGACCCGAGCGTTAAAATATGACAGTTCAATCTGCTTCACTCTCCGGAAAAAAAGTAAAAAAAAAAAAAAGTCTATAGAAGTTTTCACTTTAAAAGATATTCAACTAAGGGCACAATAAAATGCGTGTTCTTCAAGGAATTCTGGATGATCAAAACATATAAACAGTATTCATATCTACTACGTACCAATATTAATCATCAACCAATGCGAAGTTGAAGAAATCTGATATCCATAAAAAAGGTACCATCAGAAGTATATATATTTTTTTAATTGGAGGGGTTGATAAAGAAATGTAAATAGTTTTTACTTTGGTTTAAATATCTTATTTTTAAACACATGATCCTAACAAAACATGAAATTACTAGATATTTTAGAAATTCAAGGAGATGAAATAAACCCATATTAAATATAATATGTATTTATTGTTACTAGAAATACAAACAAAATAAATTTGAGTATAAAATAAAATAAAAAATAATTACAAACATTATACTGGTATTCTATATTTGCACAGCTCTTAATTAGTTCTTAAAGCACCGTTTGTCAAGTTCGAACACATATTTTAATATTAGCTGTTATACACATATAATTATTTTTATAATATAGAAGATTATATAATATAAGCAGGATAAATTTCAGTATAAAATAAAATAAAAATTTATATACTATGCTATGTTCGCACACCTTAATTTTTTCATCTATTCAGTTTTGATTACATGATTAAGGGCCCATTTGCCGAATCGGGACAGGCGCAAGTTAGGGGGTTGCGACGGTACTTTGGTACTTTCGGCAGAAACATGCGAGGTCGATGTACGCGTTGTCCGTAGTGTCCTTTAAATATCTTCGAGGTCCTGTCAGCTGATGTGGCTTTTCTCTTGGCAGAAGGATTTTCGGTTCCGAGAAAAGATAGTACTCCTGAAGTTTTTTGACTTGGAGGATTGCGGAAAAATTGTTTTATTAATATCTTAATGTTTGAAATGGTTTTTGTCACTATTTCAACCGTATTCTCTTCATCCTTTTCTTTCTTTTGAAGAACATCTTCTAATGTTTTAACATAGGCTTGTAAAGCTCCAAAGAAATATAAAAGCCTTAATCTATATCCCTGCAAATTTTTAATCTTATCATTCAAAAACGTACTCTTGTACTTACGTGCATGTAGCACATACTGTTGTATTTCGCCACACAGCTGTGGCAATCCTTTGATAGCTTCTTGCCTTACAGCAACATCATCGTCTTCACATAAATCAAAGTAAACTTCAAGAGCCCTCCTTGCTAGTTGGGGAAAATGTAAGAAAAATTTTGGGATCAGCTGACATACCATCTTACTGTCTATAGGACGCATTGGCGATAATCCCAAGATTCCTCGGTAAACTTCTTCATGTTGACTGGGATCTCTAGATCCTGTTAGTATTTCGCGCTGAATGCACAGGATTATTATCTTATGGTGAACCATTGTTGAAGCAAAACGAACACAACAAAACAAGCTGCAATCTACACTTCAATACACAGAATATGAAGAAGCGTGGTTAAAAGAACACTAATGGAACAAGATACCGGCAGACTGCTTCACAAACTAACAACTCAGAGTTAACTGCAGGAAGTAACAGCCCTAATGGGCCTTACCATCGCAGGTACATCGGTACCCTTTAGTACCCCCCACCACTGAATTTCAACTTCATTCAACTTTGCTAACGGAGCAAAGTTATAACATGATCAAAACAATTTTTATCACTATGTCAATAATTAAAACTTGAAAATCACATTTATGGAAGATAATCACAATGATTTGATCACATTAGACTTACCCTACTTGTATTGTGATTATAAGGAAGGGCCTCATCATTATAGGCCTAAACGACATTAAATGGGATACATTGTTTTCCTCTATAAGCGTTTATATAAACATACACCTTATATAATCTATGTATAAAAAAATAAATCTTATTAAATAAGTTATTTAATTATACTAGTATTTTTGTTTTCGTTTTTATATTTCTCCTCTGATGGTATCAAGAGAAATAAAGTAAATAGTTTGGTTTAGTAATAACGTCGCTATTATATAAGTTAGGTAATTGTGTTACATATAGTTTGTGAAATGTCCAAACACACCTTAATAATAACTAAGTGAAGTATTGTAAATAAAATACCAAAATATAATAATAATAATAATGATAATAGACACTTTGAGATAATTATTTTATATTTATATGAATTACTGGATGGTGGATACCCACAGATGGATTTAATTTAAAGGAAATTTATCCTTTTATCGAAATATGTGCGCCATTTTGCATAACATTTCATATAAAAATTGGAAAATTATGACACATGATTTTTCAAAGTTCTAGTAATAGACAATCTTTTGTACCACTTATAAACTTTTATATAGAAAAAAATTATAACAATAAAAAAAATCTGGTGTGCGCAATATACTACTTTCAATTACCTATCTATTTTGAATAGAAATTATATTCTGGCAATGCTGGGCTATTATAAAATGTTTTGAAGTGCATTTTAAACGGAGCTAAAGCTTAAAGCTTACAGATAACAAGTCATTAGGACCATTATATTTACAAAATGTCTATTTAATATATCGACGACAAGCAATACAAATCTAGTCACTCCAAAAAATCTAGTGAATTTATCTGCATTTATAAACCACACAACTTTCTTTGCTTTTATAAACAACAGAATGACTAACTCAAATTTCAACATTTTTGAGTAATATTTTTGGTTTAAAAAGTTATCTATGCAAACAATGAGTAAGTTGATTCCAGAGGTGGTGATTGCAGTGTTGAAATATAGAACTGAGAATAAAGGTATCAATTTAGGTGCTTATTTCTTATGATAGATGTTCTTAGGAAAGACACTTTATTAAATATCTGTAGAAAAAAGGTGTTTTTAGTCTCAACAATTAAAAAAATATATTTTAAATTTATCCAAATTTTCGCCTTTTCAGGAAAAAAAACTAGAGACCATATCTTTCCTCCTAATTGTCCGATTTTAAAGATTTTTTTTTTTTGGAAATTCTAAAAACATTTAAAAACCATAAATATCCCAAAAAAAGCGTATACTTTTTGAGTTGTTCGAAATTTAATTTTAACATCCCTCGTAACTTTTTTTCCAGGTTCTTTTCGTTGAAGTTAGAAATGTTATATAGATACATTTAAAAGGTATGAGAAAATGACGTTAGCGAATATTCATTGAAATCGGTACATTCGTTTAGACGCTACAGTCTATAGCAACGCAGGTTTTTCTGCATTTTTTTTTTCTCCTTTATTAACTTATCAAATTTAAAAGTTATATGTAGCATTTTATCGTAACTCTGAATAATGCGAAATGGTTAACTTTTTAAAATAAACCATATTAAAAGTACTTTAGAGGAAGACATATATGAACAATGGGCATTTAAGCTTTGTAAAGTGACATCAACGGGGATAAGACCGAAATGATATTAAAGACCACTTAATTATACAATGATACACCGAGTTTGATCAAAATCGTTAGAGCACTTCCGGTTAGCCGATTTTAACGAAAAAGTTGTCACATCCGGCCCATATACAAACCTTAAATACTTAATATCAGTTTCGTACTACTTTTCATTTATGAGCTAGACTGTTAACACACACACACACACGGACAGACACCCACAAACACACAGACCATTTTGCGACACTTGTTTATTTGAACTCAGGGGACCTCAAAAAATGTATTTCCGTTGAAAACTGAGATTCGGAAATTTTCACGATCGCAATACTTACCCTTACTACATATTACATATATACGTAAGAGAAAGTAAAAATAAAATGATAACGCTTAAAAAGTACATATATTTTTAATAACAGGCAAATGCATTAATAGAATTATAAATTATAATTTTATTGCCTTTTTCTCTTCTTTTTTTGATTCGGGATCTCTCTTTCTTTCTAAGCTCCGAATATCTCTTCATATTTTCTTTCCGTGCATGATATTTTTAAAAGTTTTTGGATGTGAGTTAGGTTTGTATTTGTTTTTAGGTTCCGGTAAGAAGAACATTGTTTTAAATGGACTTGGTATTTGGTGTGTGCCTTTATTTATTATAAAATTTTTTCTAGCCTTGAACATTTATAATTATTATTAGTTCATGAAATATGATTCTAATTTACTATTTAGACAGATTTATTGTGACAGATAGTGATATCTCTCAATAAATATATTTAAAAAAAAAAAGAAAGACTGCGTTTTGAATATTTATCACCCTTGCATTCTTAAATATACATAAAAAGGTCTCATTATCTTGCACTTTTGCAGAAGTCGGGGTTTTAGCACCTCTCTCAGGTAAAGACGCCTACCTGAAATGCAGATAATGGAGGAGTCAATAGTTATTACCATATTTTCTCCCCTTGACTATTTCTAATCATTTTTTCATGAAATATCATTCTAATTTATGATATAGATTTAAATTTACTAATCAGCCGTCGTTTGCACATAGCAGAATAAAAATTAATCATCAAACAATGCGAAGTTGAAGAAATGTGATCTCCACAAAAAAGGTATCATCAGAAGTATATATTATAGATTTCAACTGTATTAATATATAATACGTTTGAATTGATTTGAATCTGCATATTGTTACTTTTCTGACATACATTATTTAATTTTATTGTGCAAATTGTTGTTCGCTATTTAATAATCTTCACAATATCCGCCAATTATTTATTTATTGGCGTGAAATAAATTCTATTCTGCTATGTATGAAGGACGACTGATTGGAAAATTTAAATCTATATCATAAATTAAAACCTTCTTTCTTCAACTAAAAATAATTAGAAATAGCCAAGAGTAGAAGATATGGTAATTTCTTCCGACTGACGCAGTTCAGGTAGGCGTCGTTACCTGAGACAGGTGATGAAGGGGTGCCATAACTCTCGACTTTTGCACATGTGCAAGATAACTTTTGGGGCTGGAAGACGGCGGAGGGTCCAGACCACTCCAAGGAGAGGATTACCAGTTCCAGGAAGACCTCCAGATTCTGGAAGCCACGTATAATTAAGTAAATTGAAGAAGACAAAGTACAAAGAGCTAGCTGTGTGCACATCTGTGGATTTTGTATACTGTTATCATTGCAGTAGTGTGATGTTAAGGCTTAATATCACAAAATGGAGGGTACATAGGCATGGGAGGGTGGAACTAAATACCACAAAAATTATTAACATCTATTTACTTCAGTAAAGGATTTTGTTACTTAGCTTCCTCTGTTTATAAAAGTTATTGTTCATAATATTTTAATGTGCTTACTGTTTATAATTTTAATCATTTTATTCACATTGTTTATAAATTTTTATCTAAATATGATGTAACTTCCACAATTCTATATATCTGTTTGTATCGTGTCTGCTCTAGCCCTGAAGAAGACATGCATAGTCGGGTCGAAACGTTGGCTTTTAATAAAATAGTTTTGCCACTTTTTAGTCTATTTATGACCGCCACCCCGGACCATATCCTTCCTTAATAACGCAACGGTCAACTAATAAGTATAAATATAGACTTTTTAAGCGTTATAATTTTACTATCTCTTACCAAGTATTATCATATGATTATATGTTTGCTACACAATACATATATAGTATTAATAGTTAGCTAGTATCTGACTGTTTTTGGAACAGGAATGAGATCAGGATGTATATGCACAAACAAATATATAAATAGTTATTTTATTATACTAGTATTTTTGTTTCTTGTTTTTGATATTTCTCACCTGATGTCGGTATCAAAAGAAATAAAATAAATAGTTTGGTTCGGCAGTAATGTCGCTGTTAACTAATTTAGATAATTGTGTTTTTTATAGATTGCGAAATGTCTTAACGCATCTTAATTATATCTAAGTGAAATATTGTAAATAAAATACCAAGATATAAGGTAATTGTACCAATAATAGACACTTTAAGATAATTGTTCTACATTTATATGAACTACTGGATGGTGGATATCCACAAATGGATTTAATTTAAAGCAAATTTTATTATTTTATCGAAATATATACGCTCGATTGGCTGTTTGCTTAATTTTTATATAAAAATAGAAAAAGTCTGACACATGATTTTCAAAGATCCAGTAATAGACAATCTTTTGAACCAGTTACAGACGGGCTCTTTTATAAATGAAAAAATTATAAAAATAAACAAAGTAAAATTATAACGCTTAAAAAGTCTATATATTTTCGAATACTTATTAGTTGACCGTTGCGTTATTTGAGAAGGATATGGTCCGGGGTGGCGGTCATAAATAGACTAAAAAGTGGCAAAACTATTTTATTAAAAGCCAACGTTTCGACCCTACTATGCATGTCTTCTTCAGGACTAGAGCAGACAAGATACAAAAAGATATATAGAATTGTGGAAGTTACACCATATTCAGATAAAAAATTATAAACAATGTGAATAAACTAATTAAAATTATAAACAGTAAGCACAT